GTTACAGTACGAGTAAGATGGTATTTTACACAGATCGACATAGAGAATAGGGAAGCGAATGAAAAATGTCTCATACGCGAAGGCAACTTTTCTTCTTAGCTGCACAATTCTGTGCATTGTCCGACAACATTCAACCAAATGGATTACAAATTCGTTCAATTCGAGAAATAGAAAGACCTAAGCCATCATTGTACCTAAGGCTTATTGGATGCCTAACGGAGTCTATTATTGACAAAACCAAACCCAGTCTGCACTCTTCGCAATTTACTAACGACGAATATACCTGAGTAACCTTAATCATATGTTAGCCAACTTGTGGTAAGGGTGCTGTGGTTTTTGGCTGTATTGTCAAGGTGTAGATGTTTGTTGACCCGCTTTGAAATCCGTGCTGAACGTATGTGTCCAGTAGGATAAACGACACTTCCTCACAGGGCAAAAGCTGGTGGTCATCCTGATCAAACACCGGGTCATATTTCATTAACATCATAAAAATTTACCCTACTCCATTTTGAGATTTGTCAAATCCCGTTGCTAAATAAATCAAGGTGAGATATCAGACGACGAAGACGATGGGTCTGCTTGAGTTATTCTTCCCGATATTACACTAAAAGACAATTGATTTAAGTTCACAGGTTTTTATTCACTAACTGAGCAGTTTCTGAATGTAAGCTTTACATGCGCAACACCATCCGATGGATTTCGACTTTCTTAGGACTAGCACTACTAAATGCCAAAATATTGTGAACAAAACAAAGCAGGAAAGCGGGGATGAAGTAAGGCGCTTGACGCAGGTAACACTTCACAGCTGCTTTGCACACAGCTCCACTGCCCATGCTTTAAACTTTTTTCCAGACATATTGACAGTCATCAATAAAGCAGTTTGTGAGAATACAAATACGCAAAGAAACCTTGGAACAAAACTGAAGCCAAATCGTTAGCCGTTGTGACTAGCCTTGTGGCGGCTCAGCACACTAAATTGTTGAAGCCGAATGCAAACCACCTTTTCGCTTTCAGTATGATGCATAGTTCGGCTGTCTCAGTGAAGAGCACTAACAATAAGAGCAAGAGTATAATGTGGACTTAGGAGAACTTAAACCGAAGTCTTCGCCTGATTGCAGTCCCTATGACCGGAAACTAGTAAAACTAAACCAATGTTTGAATTGAGTGTCACAGCCAAATACATTGATAAATAAGTAAACAAGATATGTCGTATGGATACGGATGCAACGGTATGGGGTTTTGCACCCTGTTGTGCCGTCGGTTTCGAGCAGACTTCTAAATGACGTATATTTTACATCTAAGCGCATCCCCTATGCTGAGGCTACAGCTTCACATCCGCACACCAAGCAGCAACCGCAGGCACCGGTAGAAACATGCAGTACCGAACTAGATGCGGTTAGCTCAATCTCCATCCTTCGAGCTTCGAAGGGTGAAATAATAGAACAGCTTCCCCATTGCATTATTGGAGGCGAAATCTGCTTCGGTATTCAAGACATTCTTGAATGTATACCCTGAGGAGTACAAATATTGAGGGCACATGGCAGCTGAATGGTAAATCGCACAGCCGAATTGCATTGACAGTGCACGGTAATAAATAACGCTATTCTCCTTGCGTGTCTGAAATTACATCGATGAAGCAATCAAGTTTACTTTATCCCAGCTCTTTATTTTGGTAATTTATTATACCGTATTACTAGAACTAGGCTTTGTATCTTCAGAACAAATTCAGAGCACAATCACATATTGACTTCATATCATTCCATTTGACAGTTGGACAAACACAAATAAGCAGACCACTCTGCTATTTCTCACCGCATTTGCGCGCTTTCGCAATGAATATTTCAGTAGCTTTGCAAAATGGTTCTAATTACCCAATCATAATGAGACCTGCCTAAAATTCTTATGGAAGATTAAGCCAAATATTTGCTTCACTTTCTCCCACGTAAAGTACGTGCATCTGTGAAATAAGCGACCGTTGCGCTTAAGGACAAGCGACTGACAGTTTACATACAGGTCTCATCTAAATCCTTTCTACCCATGCTATGGGCCTCAGATATCTCGTTCTCTGGCCACCAAAAACTGCACTCATGGAACTCGGTCCAACAAACATGAAAGACCAGTTTCCCATTACCCTGTTACTTAGTATACATTTAACAAACTGATAACTAATTGTAACGTGTGGCAACTATGCGGATATATCACCAGAACTTTCTCCCTGCCTGAAGGATGACCTGAGTCATTCAAGATATTAGTACGACCGACTCTGGAATACTGTACTATCCTTCACAGCCAATTGAGAAAAAAGACAGAACAGCCCTGGAAATCCACCAACGGTCATTTCCCAATCTGGTCATGGGGCCCTACTCAAAACTGAGTTAGTAGGATCGCTGTAGAAAATCCTAATGGATACTCTTTGGCTTAGACACTTAGCAGAATCTCGTTATCTTCCACAAGGCTATTACCCAATGAGTTTAGGCAGACAGCACCGCACTGGAGCTACGGATGACCGCAGTCTATGTCACACGTACTGGCGGCTACTTGCTGCACGTAAAGCTTGCCGGACCTAAAACTGGATTAAATTTCTTCATAGTGAGATACAGTGAACTGTGGAACAAACTACTCATGGAGGTACGTGTGAGTGTAAGCCATGACACATTTCAAACTTTCATACAGACTTTCCTCACTATGTCAAATGTGTTGAAGATCTTTGACTCACCACCAACCCTAGGAACATGGACGGAATCTGGCCTAAAACATGAGCGCTACCTGCTTACAGCTAGCTTACACACTCCATGTAATTGGCTACAACACCAAAGCCTTGTCTGTGTAACCTATTATCTCACCTTTTTACTGTCTACTCCTGAACCTCAAAGAATATAAACTTGATACAAATATCGGTGCATTCCACACAGTAGATGCTCGGGTCTAGGACCCGAAGAAAAACTTATGATCCGGAAATCTGTTATTTAAATTTACCATACTATTTTGAATTTACGTCGTATAAGACATGAAAGCTTTTCAACGTACGAAGGATCGCTCCCGCTTATGAGGCCGTGTATCGCTTTTCGGTAAATGTATCAAGTTATTCATTTGTTTACATTGAATACAAATGCATAAACGAAATGCTGATGAAATTCAATATGCGAATCATTGTTACACAAAATGGAACGTATCCCTCCGGTCGGCAAGTATAGATATTTGTTTAACTAGTTACCGGAGGCGCAGAAACTTTTGAGCACGCAACGTCATTTTACGCCAAGCTGATTTATCGCTACGCTGGGTTCACCCTAAAAAAGAACAGGAGACTTCTTTTTATCTAATAATCTACTCCCTTCTCAATGTTTGATATATTTTACCACGCTTTCAAAGAAACTGCAAATTTCCACATTATCTATTTGATAGGAACGCGGCCGGGTAAACCAAGTAACCCATTTCTTTTAGAAAGAACGCAGCAAATGTGGGGCGGAAATCAGCTGTTGAGGATTTGCACTGTGTTCCAGACGCTGTACTGTTTTATTGCATGACACTCGTTTGATGCGACACAGTATTGAGTGTAAATGTTAGGGGTCGTTTTCTATAGCAAAACAAACGCGTCGTCATGATTTTTAACCGATTGAACTACGTACAGCTAATTTCATTTCACTGTAATACCGTTGGTTTAAATATTTTTGGGCAGATATTTTTATGAATCATGTCTTCTGACTGTAACATATTGTATAGGTTGCCAAGTTGTACGTAGCATGCTGTTCATTGCCTATCGTTTCGTCAACAAGTTGCTTTTGTTGATATTTTACCCACCTTGCCGCTACAGATTTATCAGTCTAATTGTGAACCTGCTAACTATTCGATTTATGATATAGATATCAATAGTGGCAAAACCCACGACAATGTTGCGCCTTGTTCGGCAGTGTCTTGGTACCAGGCAGAGTGGAGCAGCACTACTTGCTGAGTGCCTTTAACCATTATTCAACGTTACTTAATTTCTTCAATGTGACACTATCGCAGTCTGCAATTACTTAAGATAATCAAGTTCTGTCCACTGCAGCTCACTAGGCGAAACAGATGTTTTGTAGGTTAGACATCCACCTGAATCCTCAAAGATATAGCTAAGATGCCAGTTTCCGGCTAGCTGATTAACATTTACCACTTGTCAAGCACATTAGCAAGTTGCGCTCCGATTACTAGTCTTAATCAGGCCTAAGGAACCTACACAAAATTTATGAATTCAGTGGTGTGAAGTCTAGCCGGACATTGAACTACTTAGTGCTGATTCAATGACATCCCTAATTTCACGACGTGCGCAAAATTTATCTACAGGGATAATCAGGTCTTCGACTCGCTTTCGGATATTATGTTGGTTGCCATACTTGGTGCTATTAACGCAGTAGAAATGCCATCGCGATATGAATATCATATGTACAAAGTTATTTCCTTGTGAAAGAAAACCCATGAGTTAGAGAGATAAATTAATAGGTAATTAATCAATCTTACTGTTCGCTATCAATCAACAGCACATTTATTTCATTTGTTTTGAACTCCCGTGTGATTCTTGATTCCTATATGCGACAGGTCCTTGTACTTAGTTCAGTAATAACAAAGGATGTCAAGAACGACGATCAATCTGGTGTACAGTCAGCTCACAAGTGGTATAACATTATCAACATTTTCGGAAATGTTTGCTGATAAGAATGATAACCAGGTCGCTTTGGTTTGATACCTTTTTCAAGCGCACCAGTAGTAACAGGATTGTAGACCTAGTCTCCGTCATGCCAGTGAGCATTGTTCATCTGCTACCCAAGTATGCGACAGTCGTGTCCAATTTTTCAACTAGTACGGTGACGTTGTTTGAATATTAAGCTAACTGCGCCTTATTTATATGAATATGGCTAGCGAGTGTAGCTATATAACGTAAGTTTCGTTAGCACGATCAAGAAAATCCGCTAAAATAAGACGCACAAATTTTCTCATTTGCAATGTACCACATAATTATGACGTGGTATTTTAGCATAGACAGCGATAATTCTAGTTTTTATCCGTAAGTTCACAATTTGTCAATCAAGTTCCCACAAAGTCTCTGGACCACGTTTGTCAAACCTCCGTCGGGTATGGAATGGAAATTCAGGCAGACGCCGAAGGAATCCCCGATCGTCTATGTAACTCCCATCCTCGGATCTCAAGTTCCTTGAGTCGACTGTTGCGTGACCCAAGATGGAGAATAACATAACGGTGCCGATGACAAACGTCTTGAAGAGCATGATAAAAGGGGGCCTGAAATCAAGGCGGAAACGTGTCTGTAAAAACGTATTTTCCACAGCCTTGATTGATACCAAGAAGAAAGGTGGCCGATTAAATTGCTGATAATATAGACATTCACCTGACTAGTGAAAAAACCGAAAGAGGTAGGGTCAGCCAGATAATGTGATTAAAGCCAAGTCATAAATTAAAATGAAATTGCTTTCGACGAAAGATTTAGCTATTTATTTTCCAACGTTTAACAGTAAACCAAGCTTTGTGCTATTATGGGAATGGAACCACCACACACTGCTGCATAAACAAGCATTCGGTAAGTAGGCACAACTGAAGTATTTCTATTTGCTTAACTGTGGTAATACAGCTTATGATTTACTTTCAGAAATTTGGAACAAGCCAGCAGCTAAGTATTCCAACCCGTAGCTTACTCGCTTGCTAGCTTGATCACCACGCATACTTGCCCCGAGTAATCAGGTGCCTTCGGTGAAAATTTTCAGGCACAGCGGAACAAAATCTCATTCGCCTGACACAAACCAACATCAGTAATTATGAGTTTCAATTTTAGTGTGGATAAAACGCAGCCTAGTCTCAAATCGCATCCCATAATAATCATGTTTGGGGTGTGTAAAGCTTTAAGCTCTCAAACAGCGAATTAGGTTTAAAAACGTTTTAAATGGTATGTTAAAAATCATAGCTCAGTAGGAGCTGTTCCCAGTTGGCCAAAGTTTTGACGCACTGTAAAATGTAGTTGGACAAACTAAGCGTCCTTCAGTTCTAACACAGAGAGGTTTTAAGGCGTGGCTTCTGAGTATCTCTATGAAGATAATTTTTAATGGTCATGACACTGTGGAAGCGCCATCGCTGTGCTCTAACTGCGAAAAGCTTATTGTGTGGAAAGCGTGAATGACCAGTTTACTCATCCGTTCACTGCCCCCAGTCAGACAAACGTTCACGCTGTAGACAATTTAGGATAAAGATGATCCCCATTAGAGACGAAATATATTTTTGACAGGACGAGCAAAATTTATTTCAAACATCCCCTGGGGTGCATAATATACTTGAGAAAACAGTGATTCTGTATTTATTTAGAAGTACTTCATAGGCTAGCTTTGACCGATTATTATCTGAAGGCCAACGAAGTGACTCGAACAAGCTATTCTTAGTGATTCAATGACCACAAATCCAACATCGTTTTCCAAAGGAGGATCAGCAGATGTTCAGACAATTGTTTATCTTATAAGTGACGTTTGAATTTACCAAAGTTACACATCGTCAGGAAAGTAATATCCGTCATCTAATTATGTTACTGTTATACTCAAATGTGCATTATTAATAGTGAAATAAAAGGGATTATCAAATCCAAATGTCAAACTTTGCCTACAGTGGAGCAAGGTACGCATTCACGTTTATGATCGAATTCACACCAGTGCAACCAGGCTAAATACTAATCAACCTTATATATAATACGATCTACTTGATAAAAACAAGCGTGATAAAATTATACATGGCGGTACCGACCTGCACGGAGGTGCTTCAAGGATGCGTCGACCTTTTGCCAGTCTTGTTACTCAAAGGCAAGCATATCTTCATATATACTCAGCATGCGCACACAGCCTCCTCTAAGCAGACATGCCACTGCTCTGATTGGACAGTTTCACCGGAGTAAGATAGCCCCCAAAAAATCGCTACATGTGGATACCGCCGTTGGTGGCATGTCACTTAAAACACAACTCATACATGAATCCATCGCATCACTTAGAAGCCTACGTGATACTAGTGTAGGTGTTGAACAATAAGGCTTCACACATTCCCATAGGTTGTATACCTGGGTCGAATAGTGATCCCGCAGGAGTAAAGAAAGCAGTTAAAGTTAACGGTTTTCCGAATCACTTGATCTAAGACTGGGGACAAAGATAAATTACTTTTTGAATTAAACATTGCGTGGGTGAGCTACGGAATCGCCATTCGTGAAATAATTAAAGTTCACTATATAAGCTTGGATAAGGTGTCACCAGGAATAATAATAATAAGCACTAAATATCGCAACATGTTGCCCAAGGATCACACATATTTTTGATAGTATTTGTTTACCAATTGAGAACAGAAGGATGTATCATCGTAATGATAATATAACTGAGGCATAAATGCTCGTTTGTATACATTTTGTTTTCTAGATGTATCAGTTGTCACCCTCACCATCGAGAAATACAAGCTTTGTTTAGTTAGTTAGAAATAAGACAGCAGGAACACATCCTGTTACCTTTGCTACTTATATTAAAACTTGGTGATAAAAGGGGGACAATAGAGCATTGGTTCCTGTCTTTAGCCACAGCACTCACCATCACATAAACCCAAGGTAAGAAGAGTGTACATACATCTAACGTTAAAACTGAAAGCACATTCCTCGTACTCCTCTTCCGAACCATCGTTTGCGAGTTTCTATTTCTTCTATACTCATCCAGAAAGCGCCTGAAATAATCGAATAGTGAAGTGATGTGTAGCAAGCGCAGAGTGCGGCCGAGACTGCACAAAGGACGTTATAGAAGCTGGACCGTTTACTCCGCGTACATGGTTTCTGAATTTCGCATTGCTTTATGGTTCAGGATACGAACAACAATAAACGTTCGTGAGCAAAGGTCGCAGGAAACTGACTATCGCTTCAACTGTTCTGAACGTACAAGCCAGGTTCGACAATATTACAACAATACCGCAAAGGCGCACATATTGTACCCACTTCTGTAGGTCTTGAGACTAACTTCGTGACAAGACCCGAAGCGTCATAGGTTAAATAATCTAAAGCAGTCATTAGTATTACTTTATGCAACTCCGGCGCTCACACTACCTTAGGTAAATATTACCGCCTGTCCCAGGTTGTTACCTGCAATGATATGCAGATGTACGTGTGTTAGCCAACCATGAAGCGGTGGTCTATCCATATTTGAGTATAAAACACAGATCCTACTTAGATATTTCCTTCGCTAATCAGCTAAAAGTGCCTCGGTTGGAATTTGGAATGTTGGACCCCCATTAAAGCGGCTTCACCAACATGATACATGTCCACGCATCTGACCCTGTTCCGAATTACTTCCGGTGCTTAGTGCAAGATTTACGTAGTGGGAAATTTGAACACGTGTAGCGAGATAGATGGACCTTGGTCTACAATTCACAGCCTATCAGAAATTCAAACTTTACCCGACGTGTAGCTTTACGCTTCCTAATTATACCGGCAAACTTATCGATTTCGCTATTTCATAGTACACCACTCCATGGTGTAGATCTATTTACTAGTTCAAAAACGGCTATGATATATCAGAACATTAAACATCAGAGGATGGTTTGGATGAAAAAGACTTTAAATGGGCAAAATTTTCAGGGGCAAATAGCTAGATAATTCAAACTTACCAGTTTTGAGCTTAGATCAAAGGTCCTTCACTGTAATAGCGTCGCACTAGCTAAATGGTACTTCGGTCATTGATTTTATTCACCTGGCAACATTTTTGGTAGAAAATACGATAAACATAACCGGACGGTTTAAAGCCAGGCGCGAAATCAAATGCGAAATGTTTGGACAAATTTTTTAGAGAACGGACTCTGTTGTTCACGCAAGTAAGGGATATTGATAGAATTAACTGAGGTTCTTCTCAGTCGGCTTCAAAATCAGATAGTCAGCTATTTGCCAGGAAAAGCAATAGACTGCAGTTTCGGCGGGTTGTGTCATTAAAATAACCCTTGTATGCTTAGTACTACATTCCAAAAAACAAGTGGCGTTTATTCAATATTTGTCTATCTAACTATCCTTCTTTGCGGCAGCCACACGTTAGGAGCATTATCTAGAAAGACGCATGCAAAGAAACGTTGATGATGTGGGGACGAACACAAATCCATCCAGTTCAGTTGTGGGTTATCAGATATCCCTTTACTCTTATCCCTTTATCTCACGTGAGTAATACAGTCTGAATGCATGTAGTGGACGGGTTTGTTCAGCTGAAACTCTTAAATGGAATAGAAGAGTAGGACAAAGGCATGGAACTCTTAAATTGTGCGCCGTTGGCCCATGACCGCTCAAGTATTTAATACTCAATTGGTTCGCAAGTTCTTGAGTAAGATATATTAGACTGCCCCTTTTCTCCACAAATCCTCAAGTTCCTCAGCTTGAGCCCCACTTAATGCTGTGTAGTTTGGTGTGAACTGAGCCGCACTCGTTCTTATTCACAACGCTGGTGTTGTTCCTTCCCGATATGGACTTGCGACTTTACTTGCGCTGTTAATTGGGACCACGTCCAAGTCCGTCCCTTGTGTGTACCGTGATATGTAAATATGTATTGGGTCACCGAGATTATGCCCTTCGAGTTGATTAGATACTGAAATGTTAGTAACTGTCCTTATTGCTGGTACATCAGTTGGCATGCTAGTTCTCCAGTTGACGGAACAATGCATTTGGGTACATGACATTGGATAGAGGATGTGCACATGAAGTGATATGCGAACAAAAACACAAAGGCACTGACACTGAGCAACAGAATTCGACTTTGCGGGACTAGAATGATGCAAAGCGAATTTGCACACCCGTTTAATACATCAAATCCCGCCGCTTGTAAGTTTTCTATCGAACAAGACACCGATTTCTTAGTCGCACGCTTAAACGCCTGTAAGCATTCAGATATTTATTATTCCATGGGGCAATTACATATTTGCCATTTTGCAAGAAATAAAATGTATGAGTTCACGGGTCCCAGTGACTCCAGGTATATTGTGGGTGACCAGCATGTAGTGGATTCAAAGCGAAGAAGTCCAACTGTACTTCCTCATGACAATCGGTCACTGCAAATATACCGAAACCGTAGCGGGTGCAACATAGAATATCATGCAAAATACTGTATGCCATAACACAAAACTGCAAGTTGAAGGTGTACCGCTTGCGAAGAACAGACCACATTAGCGTAACTTTTATTCAGTTATACATGCAAGTGTCATTAACCATAAACCATGCGTGATACATTGCGTTTATGAGACACAGAGATTAATAAAAACCAACCTGAAAGACAGTTATCTTACTGCATGCTTTCAAATTGAAGACAGCCAAAGTTGACTAGATCAGTTACTGGAAACACTCTCCGCTTCGGTTCACTGTAATGGCCAGAAATATGCTTGCGTCCTTATTTGCACCATTTTAACAATCCATCCAGCCATGGGGACACAATTTTACAACTCAACAGTGGGCTCACTCATCTCAGGTTTCTGTCCCTGTTGCTACTAGTGTCATTAGAGCTGTCTGTGTCCACGCAGCTTTATCCGTCCGTAGTATGATGCGACTTGCAAGAAAGGCTTTCGCGTAAATTGCGTTAACTACCCCGAGATGTTGCTGATCTCCTTTTTATCTAAGACCTCTGTTTCCTAATTCGAATGATTTCAGAGACTAGGAAGGACATTTTCTCAGGTGGAAATTTCCAGATTTTATCACGGCAGAAGTTGCATCGAGCAAACTTTAACACATCACCAAATTCTTGAATTCCAACAACTTCACCAATGTCCAAAGATCGTGGTGTTCTTGGACATCCGAGCGGCATTTGATTTAATATATAGATCTGCACGGCGGATCTTATAACTAAGGGAGGGTGTGTTCGACAAATTTTTGAGCATCCTGAAGGAACTTTACAATTACATGTAATGGCATAAAAGTAATGGCTTATAGCAGTAGTTCCATTCGTTTCCTGTCAACAAAGGCATTCGTTAAAGGTTATCTGGTTCTGCTTTTTAGCTTCAATTTAGCCATCGATGAATTTTTGCAACCAGCATCAAAAGGTGTTCAAAACTGCTTACTGAGCTTCTTCCTGGCGACAAATTTACGAACTTCGACTAGGCTGAATGTATCACTTTGCTTGGGAACGATGCCCAAACACTCTAGAGCGCTTTGGGCCGCCTAGCGAGGTGGACATCTAAGTGTGACTTATATTTCGCTACAGGCGAATGTAAAGTACTACTCTAGGATTGGCAGGTTCCTGAATCGACCTTCGCCATGGCTGGTAAGGCTCTGTAATAAGTCCCTTGATTCATTTATCTAGGGAGTTGCATGACGATTTGCTGCGGTGTTGGTGATTAGGTTTCACAACGGATCGCAAAAGTTTACCCTAAGTTTCTCAAATAGCGACAATAAGGTATCGTCTCAATATCAGTCTTAAGCCTAGTTGTAGGTTATAGAGTAATCTCCTTTTTACGCCTCTCTTTGTGTATATGAAACCTGGTCTGATCGGTCAGAAGACATGAAAGGTTTTCCAGATTTTAGCTACCGTTGCCTGTGTAAGATTGGTTATTTGTAACGGAGACACTGCGTAAGCCATACAGAAGTTTTACACCGACTATTTCTATTGGAAAGCCAATGTCTCCCAAAGGTTAGTATAAGAGATCCCAGGCGTCGGCTCCTTCAGGTATGGCATATACCAGCTAATCACTTTTACACTGAGCTTTAGTTACGCTTCCTTTACCCGATTGAAAAGAGTGCCGTGGTGGATATCTACTAACTTAAAATTGAGCATATAGTAGGAACCATCAAGCATTGCGTTAGTCATGCCACTGAATCCTCCACGGTGGGGACAAGGATGGATCTGACTCCCAGTGGTTGCAAAGGCTGGATTTTATGCCACGCAATAGTAATCCGTGGTGTCGGTGTTGTTCTGGCTCTTTATACACTAGTTTATGTCTAACAGAAACACAACCGCACAAAAGGCTGTGTATACACTGAAAATACTTCATTTTCTGCGCTTTCTTTATTCCCTCGTTTATTTCTGTCATGGTTGTGACGGTAGATGGGCCGTAACCGGACTGTAAATAGTTATATATATATATATATGGGAGGGATTATAACAAATAACATACCTGATGGGAATGAGAAGTGGATTGCAAGATATAGAGATAACGTGTATGATGCCAAAGATAAACGT